TATCGGCATCGGTTGCATCACGACGGTACTCCTTCATAATCGATGGGAAACAGGTTAGGGGATTAGGGGACATTTCTACCTAGGACAAGGTTTATAACACGTCTACATCCAAAATCGGAAGATTTGTGTAATTAATTTGCTCTTGATTCTCTCAATTCTCGAAAGATCAATTTTCCTGTCGGATACCGAAGGCGTGCCGAAGCTCATCGAAGCTCGAGACAGTGTTGCACGTACAGCAACGCATGCTCGAGGGAACTCGAGGAAAGACAGATGTGAGCACAACAACAATCGGGATTTTCACGATTCTGCGCGATTCTCGCGTCTCGCGTCTCGCGGAGCTGCTCCGCCATATATACGATATAAAACGCGCACCGTTTCAGGTGTGGTTCAGTAATCGCAGGGCGCGCCTCCGCAAACACACCGGTAGCATAACTCACTCGCCGATAAGTAACCTGCCACTGACAACTTGCCAATACACGGCGGCCAGTCACCAAGAGCTCGTGCAGATACCGCAAGTGCCGCAGATGCCCGGCGGAATAGCGCAGGTACCCACGACCTTGCACCAGACACCCAGCGGCATGCACCAAGTATCCGGTACCGTCGTCCAGATGGGCCAAGTGCCCACCACGATGAGCAGCGCCCTTCAGGGATCCGCGGTTACCATCTCCGGACATCTCGGCTCGCTTCCGGCGCACACGACCACGATGCAACTCACGCAAATGCCGACGATGCAACCACCCGCCGCGCACGGCACTCCACCCACGTCGCTCTCGCACAACAGCGGTGGGTACCGGTTACATTCTTCGTCTATCGATCGAAGTGCAACCTCGAATTGCTCTCGTGTCTCTTTATGTCAAATGCATCTCAATGACGCTAGACCGGACTGCACGGAGTTTTCGTATCCGAATGTGAGGTCTTGGTATTTTTTAGCACTTTTGCTCTCAGTAAGTATCGTCGATTCTTATTTTCAGGTAACACCGATTGGTCAAGAGCGCAGCTCGGTTGGGGGCATCAGTTTAATCATTTTCAAAGCGGCGATTATGGATCGAGTCACGCGGCTCATCAACACGGCTCGCACGCGAGTCAAAATACTCCGTCCTCGAGTACCTCGAATACCGCGACAACACCGGACTGGTACGACCAAGGCTACGATTACACCTCGCATCCGCAGCTTAATTATGCTCGCACCATGAGTGGAATATTTTAGCCGATCAATTATTGTACAAAAGTACAAAAGTTGTGTTACGAAACACGAGCCAGAGAAAAAATAGCTATTTATATATACGTATGCATATGCATATACGTGTATCTCAATTTTATAATATATATTATGTCGTCTCGCTATATTAAATAAATAAATATTTTTATTTAATTTCCAAATTTGTAACGCGCGTCCTTGTCAAATCTTAGACTTGTTCCTAGTAATAAATTCAAGATGGACACGACGCGCACACAAACTTGAAAATGAAATCAAACATTTCTCTATACCTCGGAAGCCTAAAGTATCAAATAAATATTTATAACAGATTATCGATAACTTTATATACCCTTTCATTCTTTTGCCTCCCTTCTTCTTATACAATATTGAAAAAAAAAAAACATTAAATTACCCGACGACTGAGGAAGTTTTTAAATTGTGGAAAACGATTTTTTTATACTTGCTCTTTTCGGAGGAATTATTTAATCTTTACGTTCTGAGATCAAATCTCGAGCAAAACTCGAAACGTACTTAAATATTCTTAATTATTTCCTGCTGGATATCAATCATATTATGAAAAATTACACTATATCCGCGTAATTTGATCTTCATGTATGTATTTTGTCATTAATTAGATAGTGTCAGACTTATGAAAGACTTATTGTCTCTCGTTGAAGAAACTCGATAGCTTATCGCAAAATTTACAATAGACTCTATTATCATTATTTACATAAGAAAGACTGAGCACGGTAACAGTTATGACGTAAGACTACTTGTTCAATAAAACAACATTGTTGCCTTTTATGTCGTAACTTCTTTAGAAACAGATACAAATATGTTAAAAGATTTATGAAAATTAGCAGTGTTTAAAGGCAAATTACGATAACATTAGACGTGGCATCTGTAACATGTCACCCCAGAAAGATTGAAATATTGCAGTGCGCTAAAAATAGTAGACTGTTTTTTTACTGTATTATCGATACTAAAAAAATATTTATCTGATACGAAAAAAATATTATAAAATTGTCGGATCAAGGAAATTTAATGCAAAATATTTCTCCAAGTAGATCGGAAATAAACAAATCCCAAAATATATTTATCGCATACAAGAAATTCGGCAAATCAAAAGTTTGGTTCGATTTTCAATAATAATCAATCTGATATATAATACAGACAATAATACTAATAATACCTGTTTAATATGTACTGTTATAGATAATATCTGACGATTATTTAATCGACAAATGATATATTTCCATTTAACGTAATAAGGCTAATTTCAGTCAAATCAAATCTTTTGTTTGGCCAAACATAAAAGTATCGAGCGTAAACGTAAATTCAAGGCAGAATCCGAGTCGAAATTTTAATTCTGTATTAGGATTGCAAATTCCGTCGAATCTGAAGAGTCAACAGAGAATGTCCGTAGATCGAGAATCTCAATTACTGTATCATATAAAAATTGGTATTTACTGTCGTATATTCTTTATATTAAAAGTTAACCACTTGTATTGGAACAACAATCTATGCATCTAGTTTCTAGAAAACACGCGCAAAAAATAATAATAACAATGTACTACGTACTTGTGTTACTACGTGGCTTGTATTTATCAGTTTAAAAACTCGAAATGCCGCTAAAACAGACTAATAGGAATATATTCAATATGTCTTTAAACGTTACAGTTTAATAAAATATTAATAAAATACTCTTAGAACACCATAATACGTTACGAAATTTTATAGAAGTAGCACAAGTGTTTAAAGGACTTAAGAGAATGGCTCTAAGTCTTAGTACATAAATATTTATATAAAATATTCAGAATTATTTAATACTCGATTATTTCGCGATATTCTATTTATATACAATCTTTACTCTGTCAATTTTAATAAGAAAAGTATCAGTTATATAACTTACTCAACTGCAGATAAAATATATAAAATAAGCAAATACTAAATAATTTAATAAGGATTAACAGGTAAATGGATAAGTAAACCAACAACTTTATTTATTCACAAACTTCATTTTTTCCTTTTTTCCTTTTTTGAAATCGGAAATTTGATTGAGGATTTGAAAATTTACAAGAAGTAGAAAGGAAGTAATTGTAAAGGGAGGTAAAAATAGCAATTATATGTTTAATGACACTGTATCGAATTAAAAATTTGAATCTCCAACACCAGATTTAAAGACTGGCATTTAAAGTCATAAATTATTTACGATATTTAATTGATAGCATAATTAATAACAGCTTTGTATTCATGGGCCATTGACTTAGCTCTTTAAACTATGTTTCTTTTTCTTGTCATATGAAATAGAAACATACAGATATACAGATGGACGTGTGTGCGTTTACGGTTGCCACCTCTATGCCAGGCTTTGCCCGAAGGTCTAGGAAGAACGGGGGGGAGGGGGGGAGCAGGAACAAATAAAAATACATATCAAGTATTAAATCTTCGAATAGATTAACATATTAAGTTCGTAAATATTTTTACGAACATACGCATATTGTACTAGTATCACATCGTTATAAAAAAATGTTATGAAAAAATACGCACTATCCAATGAAATATTTTAATATATTAACATATTATGTTTAAATTAAACATATAATTTTATATATTAGTAAAAATAAATACATAACTATTATTTGATTAAAAATTTATAAAAATTCTTAAAGTGTGTTGAGACTCAAGCTATTACTTTTCTCTCTCTCTCTCTCTCTCTCTCTCTCTCTCTCTCTTTGTCTCTGTCCGATTATAAAATATAGGGAAAATATAATCTTATCTCATATCATATGGCCCAGAGATTTTTTCTCCTGAACCGGAGACTCCGGGCGAAAACCGAAGAGGTGACAACTGTGGCGCGCGCGTAAACACACACACACAATCGAAGATTTATGTAAAAAATTGTTAAATGACAACAAATGCTAGCTTGAATTTCGACTCGGATATCTCCTCATTCTTGATAAATTCATCGAACGTCCGTTAGAAATGAGAAACGTCCTGCATAACAAATAATTTTAAACATACCCGCAAATACATGTTGCATCATGTTTCGGCACCTTGCATCCTCCATCATGGCTTCTCGATTTAGCATTTTGCTCCCGGCTAGTCGTAGTAGCACTGGTTCTAATAGCGACATTGCACTCGCGTAACAAGGTCTGATTAAAGAAATACATGTTAATGGACGCGATGTCGGCGAGGAATTCGACGAAATGTCTCGAAATCCGAGCGAAGTAACAACCAACGTACCGACACACGTACCTCACGTCGCGACATGTGCGTCAATTACCAGCGCGAAATGTAATGTCTCGGATCACGGAATAGTACCGTAGCGTGAGAATACCAAAACAATCGACAGAAAGGGCGAGATCATCTCCCACCAATCGCCACTCTCGTCGTCACGCGCCAATCAATGACACGGATATACGGTAACTGAGAAATCTCAACTCTCGAAACATTCGGAACCTACCGAAGGTCGTTGATATTGTCAAAACAGTCGCACGTGCGCCACTTGTCTTTACGTCTGCCAACACACACCTTTTCACATCTGCTTCCACTGTTTTGTGCCGAATCCAGATTTAAATCTCTTTCTTGGTGCACGGCATTGTTACAGATGCGTATTTTTCAATCAATGTTCGCGGGAATTCTCGGAAGGCGTTAGCGAATGGATTTACGGATGATTAATAGCATCATACCTAGGAATCATAAATGTTATCTCGAGTAAATATTTGACTTGTGTGTGAGGTGACACAATTATCTCTTTTTCTCTCCCTCTACACGTATGCATCAGTAGAATTCTAAACAACCGACTGGATATAAGAGAAGATGGCTGGATCGAAGTTTCTGGAGTTGATGCGAAAATGGGTAGATATCAGTGTACAAAGTTAGCGGTCTTGCTGGTAAGTGTTTTGCTTGTGCGCATCTGCGACATTGTCCAAACAATCATTGCATTTTTAGACGTTCGTCTTCGGCTGCAATGTGACGTCGGGTCAATTGTTGCTTCCCTTCGCGGGCAACGTTGTCATAAAACGAAATGACACCGTTACTTGCGATTCGGCACGTATGTGTCATGAGTGCGACAAAGTAAGATTGTGTATACAAGCGAATGGAAGATGGGTGCAACAAGCTATTGTAACATGCGACCCAGATTCGGATGAACGCTGGTGTAACGCTGGTAAATGCTCCAAGGTATCAATCGCACGTAATTGTTTTTAAAATTGCACATTTTGATTCATTAGATCGAAATAGGTGGTTGATATCTACTTCACATCATGCTTGACATATTTACTACCACGCTGATTTTTATTGTTTTAGTCAATAAAACGTATTATTCACTTTATTAAAGTTTCAATTACCAAAGATATGATAAGTAATTATAGTCTGCAACACATATATTTGTTGACTCGTTTTATTGGCTCTCTATTTTTTTAATTACTATATATTTAATTTATTGTATAAAATGCTTATTTTGTATATGTAATGTATGTATATAAATTAATGGGACGAGACAATATGTTACAATATGATTCACTGACCTTCGTGTCAACATATTAATCAACATATCAATAATCTTTACTGTATATTTCAATTGTATGACTGTATGTATTTTATAATTTTACCATTAGACGCCGTTATCTCGGTGTGTCAAAGATTCGACGGATTTCACGTGTCCTGATATCGATGGCAAATATCCTGACTCATCGAGTTGCACACGTTATCACATATGTACGGAGGGGATTCGCAGGACTAACTATTGCCCACCGAACAATGTTTATGATCACGAATTAGGCGACTGCAAGTTGCGACGTCGTAATAGCGATTGCGTACAATTCAAATGTGATGCCCAAAGTAAGAATGGTGAACCAATCGTATATCCACAGGACGATCGTATTTATGGCAGATGTATCTTCGGCAAAGTATACATCCTTGGACGATGCCAAGATTATGAGAGGTACAATCTGTTGACAGAAGAGTGCGAAAGATATTGTAGGTCGGTCGGCCCTCAGCCACCGAATGCTGGCAAATGTGGCAAATATATATTGTGCGCCGAAATGTCGCCTGGAACATATCAGCCGGTGGAGATGTCCTGCGGCTGCAACCAAGCATATGATGAGAAGGAGGGACGTTGCGTGACCGACGCTCCTTGCGTGAAGGAGACTCCTGATATATGGTGCAAACCGACACCCGGAACTAACGATGAGTCTGAAACTTCTAATAGCAGCGATGACGTCGACGAGAATCAACAACCTAGAAGTGTCCAACGACGAAGCATATTATCTTTCATGAATAGATTCGGCATAAATCGACACAATAATAACGACAGTTCCGGTAACATGCCAGCAACCTTGATAAATAACAATAATTCAGGTGACAATGACAACCCTGTATCCGACGGCGATGACGTCATTGATGGAAATTTAATAAAATCAGGTAACGATGGTGATACGGCAGTATATGACGCGACTGAAAATCCTGAAATCAAACAACGTGAGAATTTTATTAGATTCGTTATCGATTGGATAATACGTATAGTGATAGGAGGACCTGTGGTAGGGCCTGTGAGATAACTTGTTCAATTTATATATATAGTGTACTGTGATATGGTTGAAAATATATATGTTGCATTAAATAAAATAAATAATACAAGTGTACTTGGTTACTTTGTGCTATTATTTGTGAAAATATAACTTGCATTGAAATATAGTAACGTATAGTTTATGCTACTCTATATTTTATTGTGAAGATTTGGTGATACTAAATAATATAAATATATATACGCTATTTTGTGCTTTATCACCAAATATTCACAATAAAGTGGAAAGTAGCACAAACTATATAGGACTATACTTCAATGCAAGTTATATTTTCACAAATAATAGCACAAAATAACGTGCACTTGTACTATTTAATAATGTAAAATAATAAATGTAGAATATATATAATATAAATGATGCATGTACTAAAACATATCATTTGTCATATTCAATGTGCCAATTTCCTGCCTCTTCTCCTTTGTCACTAAACATTGCAAATTAAATGAAACATAAATCATCATGGAAAATTCTGAATGATGATTTCTTCATTAATCAGAGTTAATAAAACGCAATGCATGTGCGTGGATTAAAATTCGAATTTATTATGTCAATATTATTATCGCTTTATTGTCGTTTTGATTATCTATTATTGTCTAAATAAACACATAGTACTTTAAATTGTAAAGTTAAAGAGAGTCGATAGATTTATATGTCATCCACAGCAATGATAGATCGATGGTGTCGCGACATCGAGCGTATTTCGATTGTATACATGCAATATACCATATACATGTTACACAACGACTTTTCTAACGATATTAAAACGAGATACAATAGTGAAAACGACTAAAGTGGAAACGAATTGGCGTTATCACTATCGAGCTTACAAGCTCTGAGCACTATAACTTCGCATTTACACCATATATATTACTACGCTGACGGATAGGGATGGGCGATATTGAAGAAATTAACCGCCGCCCAAAATTAAACGATTATAAAAAATAAAAATTTCTGACAATTGGTTACATCTTAAAAAGATCAATAATAACCCATTAAACTGTAATATTTTCATAATTACTTCACATCTAATAAGTTGCTATATATTAATAATATTTAGTAAGGCTTATATACGAAGCTATCGATGATAGAAATGAAATTAAAAACAGGAAAAAATAAATAAGCTACAAGTTTGGCACAAGTATGAGATTTTATAGCCTGAAGTCTATAATAGATAAATATATTTGTCAGATATATTTTTTTTCGTATGAAATTCACTTGTTTTTTACTGTGTTACATAAATTGATATTAAATTTTGTCATATTCATCTTTTTTTTATTTATAAAATTATATCATGTAAACAAAGAATCTCATATATAAATGATATTCATTCTATTTGAAAACGTAAACAATTCTCTTTAATATGCGTACACATGAATGTATTACAAATTAAAGACTTCAAGCAATAACATGCTCTTTAAATCATTTTAATATCATTATTTTTGCTAAAGTTACATTCTACTAAATTTGAAGCATTTGTCAGTAAGAGTAAAAATGCCTTTAGCTTACTGCTGAATCTTACTGTCGTACTATTTACTTAATATAAAAGGTATGTCGTTGAGTCGGACTACTTGCTCGTTTATTTATTATAGAATGGCGACGTAGCGGAAAGTTAGGAACTAATATTAATATAAAAATAACGGGTCAAGTTATAAGAAATTAGACATAAGGAGTCTGATCTAAATGCTGGTCCAAATGCTAGAGCCGATAATAATTGGATGCCTAGTGCCATCTTGCGTTCTCTTACAAAAGCCTCTTCTATTAGACCCGTTATGACAAACCCCTATGTTTTGACCCATTATGACTACCCTTACTGTTAGACCCGTTAATGACAACCCTTACATTAGACCCGTTATTTTTATTAATTCCAAAGCCTCCGCTACGAGCCGCCACTGTATTTAATAAAGAATCGAGCGCATATGTCCTAACAATGAAATTAGACGCATTTTTATTCGTGCTAAAAAATAGTATCTGTAACTTCGGCAAGATTTACGACGAGTAAGTTCGGAAAGCATTTTACAGACTGCAGTCTCTAGTTTCCAAATATATCTTCCTGCATAAAATTAATTTATCTTTCATCATGTTATACAAAAAAGAATCGAGATTCACCAAATGTCAAAATTTTTAAGTTTACTGAATTATATCACATAAATAAAAGTTGCACGAGAGTATCGTTTGCACTACTTCAAAGTCTAAATAATTTTCTTCAATTTAAAAGTAAAAAGAAATATCTTTCTACTGGGACGTAAAACTTGAAAATAAAAGTTCTTCCAGCCTGATAATATCTGAAAAATGATCTCCAAGCATATATATATATATATATATATATATTCAATTTAAATAAAACGTATGTATGTACATGCATGAATATTATATTCAATAAAATTTATCAATAACAATACAAATAAAACAACAAAACAACGGTATTGAATGAAAGAAAAAAAGACAACCCAACAAGATAAGATGTGATTAAATTTAAAAATTATAAGGAAATAACAAAGAAACAAACATTGTTTTGTCGGTATACATATACATCGCCCATCTCTACTGATGGAGATTATTTCTTGGCTTCGTCAATTTCGCTCACGTACACGCTAACGATTGAGTTCTCGTGGCATGGGAATAACATTTGCTGCACATCGATATTAAGAGAAATATTAAGATATAAATATTGAGAGAACGTGCATTTCGAAAAATCCGTGGCAATAACCGACGAGACGGATTTTCTTACACAACACATATTCGAGAAAATTGAATCGCGCGGTAACGCGATTCTCGAACGAGGAAAAACTGCCTCGCGAAATAGAATTTACTTTAGACTCTTTCTGCATGAGAATTTAAATCGCTCTCTGCTCAATACAGACGGCACACTTAAGGCTTCACATTAGGATTACGTAAGATTATTGTCAGCGAAAAGTAAGTTTATTGTCCATCGACGGATCCTGCGAGCAGATCAACCCTCTGCGAATATAAGGATTATCCGGCGAGGTATACAACGTTCTTCCCCACTTCTGTATTATGCGCGTGTCCTTTGAATTTGTTCGGTATTTTGTAAAGCCGACTAAATCAACGTATAATACATCTTCTTTTCGATTTTATTCCAGCATTCGATTGTGATCCAGATAAAAATATTCGACAAATTCGATATCCACCGTCGATAATGAGTGAGGAAGGACGTCGGCCTCAGGATCCGGATATTTACAGTCGTTTAATCGTACATGCTTGCTTTCCCCTCGTCCTCTCAATTCGGGTACACACACACACGCGTGACCCCGATATGATATATACTTAAACGACGATGTCGCCTAGATGAACTAGTGAAACGAGAACTTTACATGGAACGGGGCGCGATGCGGGAATTCGGCCGAAGAAAGTCATCAACGTCCGGTAACAGCAGGAACCTCTTGAAGCCGTGTCGACAATCTCCGTGTAAGGACTGCAAGTAGCGAGTTTTCGGGGTGAATAACGGCCTTAGCGACCGTGTCGACGTGTCGGAGGTGTAGTGGGACGTGGACCCATCTGCGGGATTCTCCCTGAAATTCATCATGCGTGCTTTCGTTATATCACGGAACACCGCCTCTTTCTCTCGACACCACATGAATATTGAATTTCAAATTCATTCTAAACATGTAACTAATTAATAGTGCGCGGAGCTGACAGTATGCAACATCTATCGTTGTGAAGGAAATAGCGATGAAAATCTTTTGTGCGCCACTCTCGCCTTGTATAATTGTGTTTCACATCAATCAATGATAAAGCGGAATTTTCTAAAAAGAAAAAATCTAATTTAAAGAGAAAACAGATTTAAATCTCAACAAACGAAATGTAAATTTACACTTTGATTTTTTTCTAAAGTAACGCAAGTTTAAACTTAAATTTCCCTTAAAAGTCAGACAAAACGAATGTATATTGTGACAAATCCGAGTAAGCAATTGCAGAAAAATTTAATTGAGTTATGCGTCGAGTAAGTTTAGCTTAACTCTGCAGAAATCTTTCAACAACATAAAAGAACATTTAACATTATATTCGAACATTCAACACCAACGGGACACGGAAAGGCGTTCGATAAATGGTTTTCAATCCTGCCCATCCATTACACGACGCCAGAATTCTTTTCCGAAGAATTATGTGACATCACAGACCTCTGATAAAATTCCATTCCAATGTAACACCGTATTTGCGCGTATATCTAACGAAATGCCACGAAATGACGTTAATGGTTCTCAAGGTGACCGTCGAAAAGAGCGCACACACGGAAATGTGGAGATTATCGGGTCGTCGTTGACCGCAATTTTCCACATTCCCTGAAAATACGTTCGGTTGCAACGTTGAGATCCATTGAAGAAAATGCTGAAAGAAACATTGCTAACTCTATTAACCACTAATTCGTCTAACATCGATCTACCAGCGATCTAACGAGCTAACATTGAGCCGCTAATCTCTAAACAGTGAGACACTACATCGAGACACTGTACACCTAACTACCGTAACGAGTCCTGGGATATCGTGGTGGTGGTGGTGGTGGTGATGATGGTGGTAGTAGCAGTAGTAGTAGTAGTAGTAATAGTAGCAATAGTAGAAGAAGAAGACACAATTGGAGGACGTTTTGTTTTGTACGTGGTAATTGTAGATGGTGAATAGATAGATTTTGGTGAGTTATCTTTGACGTGACGTGACGTGGCTTAAAGATCTGTTGGTGCTGACATACACATATGACATTTTCTCAGTCTGTAGGTAGAGCTCTACTTGATACGACAAACGGTGAAGACATCACATCGAAGTGGGAGAAGAGGACACGGCGGAGGACACGGAGAGCGCTGCCTAATGGTCTGACCTTCCGACCAGATATCGCGGTGACCGAGAGAATCGTGGTGCACGGAACGACGGGAGCCAGCCGAGGCGCGCGAGGGCCCCGATATGCCTCTTACTCGTTCGCAAAACTTCCGGGTAGCCCGAGTCGGCCGGCATCTCCGGCACGGAACCTGTTCCCGACAGAGTCCACAGTTCACAACACGCTTCGAAACACGTGTCGAAAGACGTTTCGAGAGAGGCGCTAAACGCACAAGCATATAATCCATAATAACTAAACATGGCTCTTGCGTGTCGGTGGCAAGAGTCAAGTATAGAGATATCAATCGTATCGATTTACCAAACCCTTCTTCGTTCAAGGGAAAGGACGAAGATATATTGGGATTGCATCTCGTACACTCTATTATAGACTCTACGGATCAATCAAAGTCCATCCGAGACTCCGTCTCTAGAAATTCATCTCAAGCTCTCTATCGTTTGTCAATTACAAACCAAATAATATTAGACGCTAGGCCAAATCGTTACTCACCCATGAACCTCTTCTCTGCGTTCGGGTAATGATCAGCGAACGCGTCGATCATGTCCTCGTAGTCGAATACGTTGGCGTTTTGCACGACGGGCAACGGATACTCGTCAGAGAAATCGATCTGCCTTTTGTGTCTCGTTTGCGACGCGACGTCCATTTTCCTGTTGGACCTGTTCTTCGCCTTGGTGTCTTCCAGCTCGTCCAGCACACTGAAGGGAGTGGTCTGCCACTCGGCAACGTCCTCCTTCGCCTCCTCGTCGCCGTGGTGGCCCTGCCTGATGAGTTGCTGCAGGTCCAACGGCTCGTTATTTCGCGCCTCGCGATCGTCGTTCAAGGATCTCCCGTGGCGATTGAGCACTCGCATCGTAGCCATTATTCTACCCGGTGTCGAGCGACCTCGCTTCGCGAAAGCCGGCCAATCGGCGTTTCTGGCCAAGGAGGCGACGCTCCTCTTGCCGTCGTCGTATCCGTAGACCGGGTAGCCGCCGCTTCGAGCCAGCGAGCCGAGATAACGCTTGCCGTAAGGCAAGGACGACTCCCTGGCCAAGGCGGCCACGTTCCTCTTGTCGGCCTGCGGCAGCATGTAATATCTCGCCAGAGAGGCGACGTTTCTCTTACCGTTCAGTGGCAGCATGCTCTGCCTGGCCAAGGCGCCGATGTTTCTCTTGCCGCTCGGCAAACCGTAATCGCGCGCCACCGAAGCGATGTGACGTCGACCCGTAGGCAAGGCGAAGTCCCGCGCCAAGGAGCCCACGTTGCGCTTGTCGAGCGTGTACTCGTCCACCTCCGGGTCCAACTCAGACAGGAAGTCGTAGTACTCGGGTACTCGTCGGCGGTACTCCTCGGCTAGTAGTGCGCTTATCAGAGCGCCCCGATTGTCGCTGAATCAACCGATTAGAATAACATTTCATCAGAATTCAATTCCCGTAACAGGTCAGGACATTATTATGGTCTTCATTCCTCCAGCGGAAGCGAGATGATAGGGAGAGGGAAAGAGTTCCGATAAGAATCGATCATAAATAAAAATATTAGATTAGCAATAATGTGAATACTTAACAGCGGCAGGATGAACTGTTTGATATAGCATCTGCTTATTTTTCCTACGCTCTGCTGTCTGGTACTCGGAGGTGTTCGATTGGAGGCGCGTATTGGAGACGTATTGGAGACGAACGACGATGAAAAGAGGGAGAGGAAAAAGATTCTCAGGTGTCACAGGTGTCGGGTGTCTTCAGAAATACGTACCTGAAATGGGACCGTTTCTCCTCGTCATCGCGGTCACTCCGGCGTTCCTGGATAGTAACAGGCAGGTCGTCGTTCTTGGCCAACGTAGCGAGGCTACGTTTCTCCAATTCAGAAATCACGTCCCTCGGCTCGATCTCCTCGCTGTCGTCCAAGAGGCGTCCCGGGAATTCAGGCAGCTTGTGAGTACGAGCCATCACGCTCAGGTGTCCTCGCAAGGCCGGATCCCTGAAGAGCTCCAGATAAACCCCGCTTGGGATACAAATCTCGGCGTCGTCGCTCTCCTCCGAGCTGAGAGCTTTCAGGTGAACCATGTCGTTGCGGTTTTTCGTTTCCTGAATGATCCTCGCTGTCCTCGAATAGGCGGCTAGATTTGAGCTGACCTCCGGTAAGCGTAGCAACGCCACGAAGATCTTCTTTGGTATGCAGTGACTGCTCTCTTCGTCCTGGCACGTCACCTGGAACGCCACGGGAATGCATCACGGTCCGGCGCTTCCTCGTCGAGATAGCGTGCAAGTGCGCCGGAATTATCTTTGCGTGGATTTCTTCGCGCATCCGATAGGCACATCATCAGCGCCGAGGATGACGATGCCTGGGTTTAATATCACGCATGAGTGTGCTCCGGACTGTTTCGCTGTTAAGTAATACCTCCGAAAATCGAGGCTCGACTCGGCAAGGGAAAACGCGCATAAAATGCAGCATGGCACGGCGTGCCCTTTTATTTTTCGCTCGATACCTCGAGAGAGCGATAAAACCCCGAGGGGGAGTTATTTGTCTTTCGCCATCGGCGGCGGCGTGCGTTATCGTTCTTGCACTTTGACCCGCGGCATATTTTCGCCTTGCCGTGTAACTTCGTATAAAGCGAAAATTAACGCTTGCGGTTTTCGCATTATCGTAACCCGCTCCGCCCATTAATATAGTCTAGATAGATCGCACGAACTATCTGATCCTCCATTGCGCAGTCAAATTTTCACCGCGGAAAAATCCGTGAGTTTAGTTAACGCGAAGTTACGCGAGTGAAATTTGAGAAAGCAATCCCGGCGCAGCGAGCATTATACGTTTATATTACAATTTGTTACGAGAGTTGTGTGCTGAGAGCCGGCGCGCGGGCGCGACGTGCTCGATGTTACCAGCATTCCACTTCATTTCAATCGGCATTATTTCATCACTCAAGGTAAACTCTCGGCGTTGGCACAACGCCGCTGAAGCTCGTTTTAATCGAACATTGCGGGTCCAAGTCACGCGCGTCTCATGCAGCAGCTGTCACGTTCTGACAGTAATTTTTCAGAGGATTGCGACGCGCTACCGGTGTTATCAGAGAGGAAGAGAGAGAGAGAGATAGAGAGAGAGAGAGAGAGAGAGAGAGAGAGAGAGAGAGAGAGAGAGAGAAGCACACAGAGTCGCGTTTGCACGAGGATTTATGAATATTTGACGGAATGCGATCTCTCACACGCGTAGGCAGGATGACAGGAATTAATTTGCACATAATACGCGAAATGTCGACCAGCCGCGCCGTAATTAAATGATCGTCCCGATGTCGGGAATAAATTCAATCTCCCCGCGTGGCCGCGCGACACGCTGTTTACGATCGCAGATATATTACAACGTGGCTCACGAGAGGAAAAATGCCCGGAGACGAAGGAGATCTCGTCGTTTGCCCAGAGTGCTAAAAGCGCTCGGCGACGTTTAACGTTCGCCGTCACGAGGAGGACTCGCACGCCTCGTAACACGCCTCTATCGACCACCATCGGTGTTCGCGTACAGTCCTCGCGACGACGACGACGACGATTTTATTTCAGAATGTTCCACGAAAGCCATGTTCCTCAATGTGTGCAGTACTAAACGGAATTCGAAAAGTTACGGCCTTGTTGCTCCAGTCCTTATTTCGCCAATCGCGCTAATTTCAGGATTTATATCGCGAACGCCATCAATCAGTGCGGCGCGATATGCTGCTTTGATATCGGCTCGCGCGCATTTACGCTTCACGCCAATTCTGATGGGTCTGGCAATTTCTTGACGATGTTACTGCGGTTTCGCGTTAAGCGCCTAAACAGTTTGTAAATTTCGGAGGTCGGATGTCGTTGACATTAACTGCGACTACATCTGCCGACTGGTGGGCGTTTGATAATGTCCCCCCGAACGTACGTGCACCGGTATTGCACGCATATGCGTACTTTTCGCCGGCAATTTATGTCGCGGAGTCAACGTGGAAAGCGTGTCGTACGGAAATTAGCGGATAATTGAATAGTACGTCATGAGTGACATACCAAAATGAGTAATGCCGACGCAAACAAGAAGCGAACGTAAAGCAATCGTGTCGCGCGCGAAAGCCGGCCCGCAGAGTAACGCAATTAACGTTATTGGAGCGCCGGATTAGCGATGCTTGAAGCGCCGCTAATCACCAATTTCAGTGAAGCTGCATGACGTCAAACCTGGACATGATAGCTACAATTGTGACGTATGTCCGTAGCCAAAAGCATAGTAACCGTCGCGTGGCACCTGTGGTATGCATCTCGCGGCGTAACGTGGGCGCTCGGTTCAGCTAAACGATGTCGTCGTTTGGAATTTCTTTCACGCCGCGCTATCTTGAAGAATTCCAATGTAAAGCTTCGCTCTCGGCAACAACATCGCAGCGTCGAATAAGCTCCGTAAGAGCATTTCACACGCTTGCAACTCCGGCTGCAAACCGGACTCGCGTATCGCGAGCGAAATATAAACTTGTCAGGAATAGAGAAATCTATATTCGAGAAAAAGTTCTATGAAGTTTCCCGCGAAGAATACTTAAAGAGATACGGAGATTTATATTTCTCACGTAATGTAGGATTCGTAAAAAGAGGACAACGAAGATAAGGAATTACCTCGACATGGAATTTCTCTCCTTCTCTGATTTGCGTGTGTATGTTGAAGACTGTACTATACAGCCGAGCACTATATGCAACATTTGCTGCATTTTATAGCAGCATTTCAAACTACAGTTTTGCTGCCATATTTGTTTATTCTGGCACGTCGCGCAAGAGAATTGTGTAAATACAATCGTTTAATTCGATTCATAGCATATCTCTTTTTGCTGGAATTTGCGATGCATTTCCTAAATAATAAATAAAATTAGCCTCTGTAGAATTACATTTGCAATAATTGATTGATGAAGTTGAAATCGGTTTAACGACAAATGACTTTATGACATTATTATATCGGAGCAAAACTAACGCGGTAATTCGGGCCGCTGTTAATTTACTTCTACGTCCACGTGTGCTCAGTCGCGCAACGCGAAAATTCACCCATATGATGTCGATGATAATCGAGTTAACTTGTGTGGCCATTTAATTACTTGACCACTCGCGATTATCATTGCGCGTAAGATCCCGCGATAATTCTCGCCTGCACGCAGGAAAGTGTTGCTGGTAATCACGACCATGTTTCATTAAGGCTCTCCGCCTACTCGATGCACGTTAACCGCGTCTCTCTTTGGCCGGCGACCAAATTGAATTCCTAGGAAACTACACCGCCGGCTTATTCTACAAGGAAAATCCTCCCCCCACCGGGCACATCATTCAAATACCAGGCGCTAACTTCCTCGGTAAATAGTTAACCTGAAATTCGTCGGCATCCCGGCGAGAAAAAGAAAGTTCTCATTAACGTATAATTCGTCTGAGACGAACGTAAACGTCTGAGACGAAAAACTTTAGTAAAAAATAATTATAGTGTGAAAGTGTCTTCCCTTTAACAAGACTTCACACTGTGTTAGCACGAGAAACTTCAATTTCTAGACTTCTCTGAACGGGACAATTTATCAATACAGATATTTGTCTCTCGATTGACAGTTTTCTTTCTTGTTTTTTCTTCAGTTTTCTTTCTTGTTTGATATCAGATCTACTTCAGGCAACGAGGTATATCAGCCAATTTTTTTAGGGAATAGAATTTTTTAGGGAATAGAATTTTGCTATCTCGAAGAGATCGTCGAACGCAATATCCGAATGTCTCGGCAGATTACGAGCGGAGTAAAATAATGTAAATTCTTGCTGTCTTGTACGAAATTCTATCGAACTTGGTAGTAGAGAAATTCAATTGCCCATCTCGCGTCGTCCGGTTGTTTATCAAACAGACGCTCTCGTTCGCTCCCTCTTTCCCCCTTCTCCCTTTTTTTTTCTCCCTTTTCATGCCGCGGGGTTTTACGTTTATAAAGCTACTTTATTGACAAAGAAAGAGAGCCTCCGGGAGACTTATTTATTTGAGGGCGACCGCGAAAATCCGCCAAGGGATATCGAGGATGCCTTGGAACCATATATTTCTAGAGGTATTTTCTTCGGAAGGAAAACACCTGAAACTATCTAATTCCAGATTACTTTTTAATTTTCTCATACAGCAGAATGTCGTTTATTCTTAGGATGCCCTCGAGAGAACGCTTTTGCAGCGAACGGATATGTCGGAGGTACACTCTTTTAGTCGAGATTACTTTTTCGAAAAATACTATCCGCACAAACTGCAAACGGGACAGAACTTCTTCGTGAAAAAATCGCAAATACTCACAGACGGATGAAATACTCACACTCGGATGAAACGCAATGCCGAGTGACAAAGCGTTTTCCGATTCGCCAATGCCGCATCCAACGTGTGCCACGTTACAGGCACATTCTTTTACGGACACGAAGAACTCACTCATATTCGCTCTACATTGCCTCTTTTTACAAACGATTACACGCATCCTGCGTAACGACGTTTTGCCGGTAGGTTCACTTACATTCGATCGGGCACTTCATTGACACGGAATGAACAGTTACGAGAGCCATTGAGGGAAGAATATTTCGCAGCTTGGTGCGAAGGACGAAATCTGCGAATTGTAACATGGAAATCGATATACACGCACACACAAAGTGACGCTGTTGTGTATTTGCTACTCTTTCGCGAAAAGAGAACTTCGTCCCGTTTGTAGTATCCGATAACATTCCCCAAAAATAATCCTGAACTAAAAAAATATACTTTTGATGCTTTCTTCGATGCAACAATATCCCATCGAAAGCGGAAAAATCGACAATATTCTCTGCTGTACAAAAAAGATTTTATTAATGCAAAATAAAATAATTAACTACTTAGATAACTTTCATATATAGTTGTTAGTTCGGATAATCGTATTATCGCATAACCGGCTTTCCTTTCCCATTAGGTCACAATGTTATATCGGCTGCTTAGTCTGACCAACGTTATCTGTTTCTACTTGTTCGATGTTACGGAACGACGAAACCACGTGTATAATAATTTGCACCGCGCTCAAGAATTGACAAACTTTCTCGAAGCGGAAGGACTGAGATCAAATGGTACTATAAATTCTGTCGAGAAATGCACACAAATCAATATAACATTAATGCCGTTTTTATTGTATCTTGCGATTTATTCCGTTTCCATTCGATGGAATAAAAGGTCGTCCCTTTCACATAAATCCATTCCATTTTCATACTTCACA